CACCAAGATAGTGAACTTGTCACTGGAACAGTGTTGTGTACCATCATCTTTCAAGGAGGCAGTTGTCCGACCACTCTTGAAAAAGGTTGGTCTAGACAAAGAGATATTGAAAAATTATCGACCAGTCTCTAATCTTCCGTTCGTATCCAAAGTGGTCGAAAAAGTCGTCGAGACTCGCCTTGAAAACCATCATACATCAAACTCTCTTCACGACAATGTACAATCAGCCTATCGTGCGTGTCATTCGACCGAGACAGCATTACTTCGTGTGCATCATGACATCACTGTTGCACTTGATAACGACTGTTGTGCCGTTTTACTCATGCTAGACCTATCGGCTGCTTTCGATGTTATCGATCATCCTATTCTAATAAAGCGGATGGAATACTCTTGTGGGATAACCAGTACAGCACTTAGTTGGTTGAAGTCATATCTCGAGATGAGGACTCAGCGAATCGCTATTGGTTCTGTTCTTTCTGATGAGATTCGTCTTCTATTTGGTGTTCCTCAAGGATCGGTCTTGGGACCAAAACTTTATTGCATTTTCGCAAGACCAATTGGTGAAATATGTAAACGACATAATATGTGTTATCACTGTTATGCAGACGACACACAAGTTTATCTCGTGTTTAAACCACTTGATGATTGGACAAATATATCAAAGCGACTTGAGGCTTGCGTAGCTGACATCAGCAAGTGGATGTGCTCGCATCTGCTTAAATTAAACGAGGACAAAACTGAGCTTTTAGTGTTTGCTCCAAAAAACCGAGTGAAGAACCTCTCAGACTTGCATCTCAAGTTTGGTGGAAACGTTGTCAGTGATACTGAGTGCGTAAAAAACCTAGGCATTTATTTTGAGAAAACTTTGGCAATGGACAAACAAATTAGCGCTGTTTCAAAATCATGTTTTCATCAGATAAGAAACATTGGACGAATTCGTCCATTTATTACCGAAGAAGCATGCAAAACATTAGTATGCTCCCTTGTAACCTCTCGTTTGGATTATGGGAACGCATTGCTGTATGGACTCCCATCAACTACTATTCAAAGATTACAGCGAGTTCAAAACACAGCAGCCAGGGTCATTACAAGGAGGAGGAAATACGACCACATAACGCCAATCCTAAAGTCTCTACATTGGCTCCCCGTAACATACCGATGCCAATATAAACTCCTCGTCTATGTGTTCAAGGCTTTGCATGAGGAGGCACCGGTCTACCTACAAGAACTCGTTAATATATATAAACCAATGCGAACACTCAGATCTGAAAATGCCATGATTTTAACAACACCACGTGTGAGAACTAAAACATATGGGGAAAGGAGATTCGACAAAGCAGCAGCCGTTCTATGGAATGATTTACCAAGTGATATACGGAACATCCATTCTGTGAACGCTTTTAAGAAACACCTGAAAACTCATTTATTCAGACATGCTTTTTCATAGTTCTTAAAATATTTTATATCGCTGTAATTTTTGAATTTTTAAGCAAATATTTTTAATTTATTTTTATTTTGTACGGGTTCAATGTCTCCTTTATTTTACCATGCCCATTTATATAAATTTTATTGTTGATCAGTAAATTTAATAGTATAGTTTTATATGCCATTTATTTTTGTTTGTTTTAGGATCTCATAACATGGGCTTTCATATTTTATTGTTAATGCTTATATATGTGTGTGAATATGTTGTAAAGCGCTTAGGGTAATTTTTGATATTATATAATGCGCTGTTATAAATACTGTATAATAATAAATAATAATAATAATAATTTAACCAACCCTGTAGTGTAGATACATGTACTGCCCCTTTAAAAAAATGTGCTTCGCAGAGTGCAGCTTGATACATGTACGTCACAGCAGATTGAAACCTGAACAGTTGGGGCTAGAATGGACACAATAACAAGCTTGATACACGTCTGAATTTGGATTGTTATTAAATATTTGACACATTATACATGTTATACATTGTAGCTTTCTGTCAATGAATGTAGTCATGGTAGTCAAAGAACTTGAAACTGGTTAAAAGATTTGAATTTATTTTCAATTGACGATTTCTTGATTTGGTGCAATACTTCGTAAATCTGTTCTCAGATAATATACAAAGAATTAGCAAAACAAATGTAAACAAAATTGTAAAAAAAAAATCCCCCAGAAAAATGTGGTACAATTTAAGAGAGATCCATACACTTATGAATACACAAGTTATTGTCTAGATCCTAGAAAAATGTTTGTTTTTGGCCCCTTTTTTCTAAACAATTGGGACCTTCAACCAAACATTAATCCCAACCTCCCTTTTGTTGTATTGAACCTTTTGGTGAAATTTCATTGATATGATTTACACTGTAAACATGGTAAATGCACATATAAAGGTACTTAATACCATACATTTAGCTCATGACTATACTCTTAAACCATGAAGATAGCTAAGAATTAAACCTTAATTGACCAATCAAAAAATATAATGATATATTTACCAATTCCAGTACTGTCGAATATTATCTGTTCACCGCAATTTTTGGAACATGGACAATACTGAAGATTCAATTTACTTTTAGTGTCATTTGTAACAAAGTAATTTCTCCCAATGTTTGCTGTTAATCTTGAAAATGAATGATTGGCCATGACAACACTTATATGTACCCTTCATTCTGCGTTCGTAAAACAGATTGCAGACAGCTTTCATGATGATCTAAAAATAAAAGAAATACAATGAAATAACTTTCTCTATTTGGCAACAAGATTTGTGAACTTAATAAAATGTGTTTTCAGCCATGTATCACCTTCACTGGTGATCCAATGGACAAGTTTATCGTCGAGTTGTCACTTGTTCAGACATACTTATATGTATAATGACTCTATTAATTATATTATAAGTACGTCTGAACAAGTGACAACTCTACGATAAACTTGTTCATTGGATCACCAGTGAAGATGATACATGGCTGAAAACACATATTATAATATAATTATTTCTGTGACTGTATCCTTCATTAATTTGTAGGATCCTTTACGATAAATAATTCAGCTGATCTGTAATATTCCATCTTCATGCCTTATATATCATGTATTATGTTACACCGTTAAATTAAACTGACGAGGAAATTTCTTGTCAAGCCTAGGTGGTCGAGAGGTTTAACAGGCAGTATATAATGCAAGGCCATTTGGTGCCACAATATCACAGTAGCATGAGTTCGAATCCCAGCGAGGGAAGAACAAAAATTTGTGAAAGCAAATTTACAGATCTAACATTGTTGGGTTGTTATTTAGAATAATTATGAATATATATATATATATACTGCATTTGATCTAAATGTTCTATTTGAGCACTCAAAATGTTTTGACAGTACATACTGTATATTTTTATTTTTATGTGATATACATGTAAATACAATTATCTGTATAAATAAGATGTGGTATGAGTGCCAATGAGACAACTCTCCATCCCAGAAACAATGTACAATGCGATGCCGGACGCGACGGCCATACTTCCACCACGTCCATGGTACACAGTGGCCGTGTTTGAAAAGATGTATCGGCCATGGGACAACAATCCGTCACAACATCGTCCATACTTTCGTAGACGCATCGTCCATGTTTTCTTTTAAAAGGGAAAATGAATAAGATTTATAAAGTATTGTGATATATAATTTAGATTGTTATTATATAAATAAAAGTTTCGTGATATTTATATGTAGATATTTATTTATATAAACTTGTAAAATTTTATTCTGTATTTAAGTATTGTTTATCATACATACATTTATGTGCTTTGTCTAATAAAATTGAGTTTTAATATGTTGGTTAAACAAATGAAATTAACTTGAAGTTAAATAATTTAAATAAATATCCAAAATAGGTAGTTATAATTCGGATCCTTGGTTAAAACAATATAAACCTAAGTTTTGAGTAAAAAAGTAATCAGTTAATGATTTATATAAATGTATGATTGAAATTAATGAAGATATATAGCATGCTTTTATGGTTTGGGTTAAAATGATATTAAAAATAAAGCTCAGAGAAATGCATCAGCAAATTTGTTCTTTATAAGACAATCCTTTAATTTCATCTCATTTAATGTTGTCAGATTGTACATAATACATACTACAAACTCACATTTATGTCATCTATACAAAAATGTAACTACTAAATATATATATATATATGTACAAAAAATGTACTTGTTATATAATAATTAAATATTTTAAAGCGTGGACAATGCGTCTTTTAAACCATGGCCATGGCGTCCCATGGACGATATGGCACCATGGACGATATGGACCATGGCCATCGTGTCTCTAAAGCATACAATGTACATGTACACATATATAATTTTAACTTGAAATAAGCAATTATAGGTTACAGTACAGCCTTCTACACAGAACAGCAAACTACAGTGTATTAAGGGTTTAGTATATATTTTGGTACTGATTGCTCTCTATAACTTGCCTTTTTGATAAAGAAATCCAGTCATCAACGATTCTGTTGCAAATGACAGCAGATTGGATTCAATATTGAATATGGCGTTTTTCTAATTTTTTGTCAAGAGCATCAAAGCCATTATCATGATTATGGAACAGTGATTTAAATGGTATGAGATATGTTTTCACATGCCCACTATTAATATCAGCTTGTGTTACTTTGTTTGGATCAACAATGTTCCCATTACGGTCTCTCAAATATTGAACTATATCGACAGGTGCACTTGAAAAACTCTTCCCCAACATGTATTCTCTTATACGAAAAGGCACAAACCACAGGTCGCTGTAATTATCTAATGCATCCTTTAGTTCATATTCACATAATCGTTCATTCCTAGAGCTTGAATATAGACGAATTTTGGAGTCAGAGAAAAGACGAATTGGAAATATTTTTTGTAAAATAACCCTCATGTCGAAAGCACAAGGATAATAGTTACGCTGAACGGTGCCCACTGGTCACCTGAACAGAAACGGTTAAAATTGAGTCTATACGCGACAAAAAATAGTACATGTTTTCCGGTTTAAAGTGAAAGTACGTTACTAAGGGGATACTCAGTGCAGCATACTCAGTTTATAATTGCTGTTATACAATACGGATATGAGCTTAATGCAAAGTTCTGGAATCACCATATTTCAAAGGATACTGTTGAGAGAGGTACAAAAAGTAAAAAATAATACACAAATAATCAATAATCATAATGATTCACTCAAAACAAACAATTGAAAATGCATAGAAGATTCATCTGTAACTCTATTAACGAGTGATATGGCTTATTTTTCAGAAAAAAAAATAACCTAATGGCCTATATTGCACTCTCATGAAATATAACTAAAAAGATGGTATGCCTCGAACTCGGGTACCTTTAAACTGCCATTGGTTACCTCTGGTCACCCTATACAGAAAATAGTAGTGCATACAGTTACACTGGTCATTTGATACAAAATGCATAGTAACTTTATTAACCTTACTTCCTTTGCAGATAAATTTACAGTGGTTCTTCTAATTAATTGACACAGATATAGATATTGAATGGCCCTTAAACAGTATTGAATTTCTATACATCTTGTCACCTTTTACATATTTAATTGTGGTGACCTCTGGTCACCCAACACATGTATTGAATTGCAATAAACATTATAAGATATTGAATTTGGTTACCTCTTGTCAACCCGGCAAGCCTTCACAGATATTGAATTTTGTTGCACCTTGTCACCTTTTACATAATTAATTGTGGTGACCTCTGGTCACCCTACACATATATTCTATTTTTTATCTTTAGACACTGTGCATAACTATTGAATTTATTTAACTTTAATAACCCTACTTAGATGTTTAATTTGGTAATATATGGACACCCTACCAAGATGTTGTATATGGTTAACCCTAATCACTCTACAATGATGTTGAATATGGTTACCTCTGGGCACCCTACAAAGATATTGAATATGGTGACCTCTGGTCACCCTACCAAAATTTTGAATATGGTTCTTTCTGGTCACCCTACACATATATTGAATAAGGTTACCTCTAGTCATCTTACAAAGATATTGCATATGGTTACCTCTGGTCACCCTTCACATATACTGAATAGGGAAACCTCTGGTCACCCAACACAGATGTTTGAATTAGTTATAAACTTGCCATCCTACACAGATAATGATCACGGTTATATCTGGACATCTTTCAAATACTTTTAATTGAGTTATGTTCGGTTTCAAAACCTATATACTGGCTTTAACTACCTCTTGTTACCCTAAATATGTCTTGATTTTGGTAATCTCTGGTCACCCTACTAAGACAAATACAATCAAAACCAAGGAGTAAACAGATGTACCAAAAGAAATTTACAACAACATTAAAAAAGTAAGGAACAACAGGAATCTTCTTAATCATGTCTTGAACGCTCCCATCGTGTGAGTTCTTTCTTAAGTCCGGTAATAATGAAAATGTACTGATGACTGTGCAAGAGTTTTAATATGATTAATCATACATAAATTACTAAAATATTGAATTTGGTGACCTCTGGTCACCCTATACATATATGAACTTTAAATACCTCAAGTTACCCTACACAAATACTGAATTGGGTTACCTCTGGTCACCCTTCACATATTTTGAATGTGGTTACCTCTTATCTTACACAGATAGAAAACTTGATTACCTCTAGTCACCGTGCATAAATATTTAATTTGGTTACCTATAGTTAGCCTACTTAAATATTTAATTTTGTAAACTTCGGTCATAAATTGAACGTGGTAACCTCTGATCAACGTACACAAATATTGAAAAAGGTAACCTCTGGTAAACAATTACAGATATTGAAAATGGTTACCTCTGGTCAACCTACAATAAATTGGCTTATATTACCTATGGTTACAATTCATAAATAATGAATTTGGTAAGCATCGGTTATCCCGGTTCACACTTTTGCGCTACTTTTATAATTAATATAGCAACTTCTGGTCGCTGTACACATACATTGAATTATATTGCCATTGTCAACACACACATATATATATAGCAATTGCCTTTTTTGAATGTGGTAACCTCGGGTCGCCATACACAGATATAAAGTTATTTATCTTTAGACACCATACTTAAATATTGAATGTAGATGCCTTTATTAAACCTACTAGTAAGCTGTTTATTTTGGTAATCTCTGGTCACACTGCCAAGATGATGAATGTGGTTACCTCTGGTCACTCTCCAAAGATATTGAATATGGTTACCTCTGGTCACCCAACCAAAACTTTGAATATGGTTACCTCTGGTCACCCTACACATATATTGAATAAGGTTACTTCTGTTCACCCAACCAAAACTTTAAATATGGTTACCTCTGGTCACCCTACTAAGATATTGAATAGGGTGACCTCTGGTCACCCAACCAAAACTTTGAATATGGTTACCTCTGGTCACCCAACCAAAACTTTGAATATGGTTACCTTTGGTCACCCTACACATATATTGAATAAGGTTACTTCTGGTCACCCAACCAGAACTTTAAATATGGTTACCTCTGGTCACCCTACACAGATATTGAATAAGGTTACCTCTGGTCACTTTACAAAGATATTGCATATGGTTATCTTTGGTCACCTAAAAAGATATTATATGTGGTAACCTCTGGTCTCCCTACACATATATTGACTATGGTTACCTCTGGTCACCCTACACATATTTTGAACATGGTAACCTCTGGTCACCTTACCAAAACTTTGAATATGGTTACCTCTGGTCACCTAACAAAGATATTGGATATGGTTTTTTTTTTGTCATCTAAAAAGATATTGAATGTGGTTACTTCTGGTCACCCTACAAAATATTGAGTATGGTTAGCTCTTGTTACTCTTCACAGATATTGAACATGGTAACCTCTGGTCAACCTACAATAAATTGGCTTATGTTACCTATGGTTACAATTCATAAATAATGTATTTGGTTAGCATCGGTTATCCCGGTTCACACTTTTGCGCTTCTTTTATAATTAATATAGCAACTTCTGGTCGCTGTACACATACATTGAATTATGTTGCCATTGTCAACACACACACATATATATATAGCAATTGCCTTTTTTGAATGTGGTAACCTCGGGTCGCCATACACAGATATAAAGTTATTTATCTTTAGACACCATACATAAATATTGAATGTAGATACCTTTATTAAACCTCATAGTAAGCTGTTTATTTTGGTAATCGCTGGTCACACTGCCAAGATGATGAATGTGGTTACCTCTGGTCACCCTCCAAAGATATTGAATATGGTTACCTCTGGTCACCCTACACAGATATTGAATAAGGTTACCTCTGGTCACCCAACCAAAACTTTGAATATGGTTACCTCTGGTCACGGTGCACCCTACACATATATTGGATAAGGTTACTTCTGGTCACCCAACCAAAACTTTAAATATGGTTACCTCTGGTCACCCTACACAGATATTGAATAAGGTTACCTCTGGTCACTTTACAAAGATATTGCACATGGTTATCTTTGGTCACCTAAAAAGATATTATATGTGGTAACCTCTGGTCTCCTTACACATATATTGACTATGGTTACCTCTGGTCACCCTACACATGTTTTGAACATGGTAACCTCTGGTCACCTTACCAAAACTTTGAATATGGTTACCTCTGGTCACCTAACAAAGATATTGGATATGGTTTTTTTTGTCATCTAAAAAGATATTGATTGTGGTTACTTCTGGTCACCCTACAAAATATTGAGTATGGTTAGCTCTTGTTACTCTACACAGATATTGAAAATGGTAACCTCTGGTCAACCTACAATAAATTGGCTTATGTTACCTATGGTTACAATTCATAAATAATGTATTTGGTTAGCATCTGTTATCCCGGTTCACACTTTTGCGCTACTTTTATAATTAATATAGCAACTTCTGGTCGCTGTACACATACATTGAATTATGTTGCCATTGTCAACACACACATATATATAAAGCAATTGCCTTTTTTGAATGTGGTAACCTCTGGTCACCCTACACATATATTGAATAAGGTTACCTCTGGTCACCTAACCAAAACTTTAAATATGGTTACCTCTGGTCACACTGCCAAAATGATGAATGTGGTTACCTCTGGTCACCCTCCAAAGATATTGAATATGGTTACCTCTGGTCACCCTACACAGATATTGAATAAGGTTACCTCTGGTCCCCCAACCAAAACTTTGAATATAGTTACCTCTGGTCACACTGCCAAGATGATGAATGTGGTAACCTCTGGTCACCCTCCAAAGATATTGAATATGGTAACCTCTGGTCACCCTACACAGATATTGAATAAGGTTATCTCTGGTCACCCAACCAAAACTTTGAATATGGTTACCTCTGGTCACCCTACACATATATTGAATAAGGTTACCTTTGGTCACCCAACCAAAACTTTGAATATGGTTACCTCTGGTCACCCTACACAGATATTGAATAAGGTTAACTCTGGTCATTTTACAAAGATATTGCATATGGTTATCTTTGGTCACCTAAAAAGATATTATATGTGGTAACCTCTGGTCTCCCTACACATATATTGACTATGGTTACCTCTGGTCACCCTACACATATTTTGAACATGGTAACCTCTAGTCACCTTACCAAAACTTTGAATATGGTTACCTCTGGTCACCTAACAAAGATATTGGATATGGTTTTTTTTGTCATCTAAAAAGATATTGATTGTGGTTACTTCTGGTCACCCTACAAATATATTGAGTATGGTTAGCTCTTGTTACTCTACACAGATATTGAAAATGGTAACCTCTGGTCAACCTACAATAAATTTGCTTATGTTACCTATGGTTACAATTCATAAATAATGTATTTGGTTAGCATCGGTTATCCCGGTTCACACTTTTTACGCTACTTTTATTATTAATATAGCAACTTCTGGTCGATGTACACATATATTAAATTATGTTGCCATTGTCAACAACAATATATAGCAATTGCCTTTTCTTAATGTAGTTACCTCGGGTCACCATACACATATATAAAATTATTTATCTTTAGACACCATGCATAAATATTGAATGTAGGTACTTTTATTAAACCTACTAAGATGTTTATTTTGGTAATCTCTGGTCACACTACTAAGATGTTGAATGTGGTTACCTCTGGTCACCCTCCAAAAATATTGAATATGGTTACCTCTGGTCACCCTACAAAGATATTGAATATAGTAACCTCTGGTCAACCAACCAAAATTTTGAATATGGTTACCTCTGGTCACCCTACTAAAATTTTGAATATGGTTACCTCTGGTCACCTTACAAAGATATTGCATATGGTTATCTTTGGTCATCTAAAAAGAGTTTGAATGTGGTTACCTCTGGTCACCCTACACATATATTAAGTCTGGTTACCTCTGGTCACTCTACGCATAATTTGAACATGGTCACCTCTGGTCACCCACACAGATATTGGCTATGGTTACCTTTGGTCAATCTACAAAAATTTGGCTTATGTTACCTATGGTTACAATTCATAAATAATGAATTTGGTTAGCAATGGTTATCTCGGTGCACACTTTTTGCGCTACTTTTATAATTAATATAGCCACTTCTGGTCGATGTACACATATATTAAAGTATGTAGCCGTTGTCAACAAATATATATAGCAATTGTTTTTTTTTAATGTGGTTATCTCGGGTCACCATACACAGATATACATTTATTTATCTTTAGACACCATGCATAAATATTGAATTTAGGTACCTTTATTAACCCTACTTAGATGTTTAATTTGGTAATCTCTGGTCACACTACAAAGATGTTAAATGTGATAACCTCTGGTCACCGTACAAAAATATTGAATATGGTTACTTCTGGTCAACTAACAAAGATATTAAATAGGGTGACCTCTGGTCACCCTACCAAAATTGTGAATATGGTTACCTCTGGTCACCCTACACAGATATTGAATAAGGTTACCTCTGGACACCTTACACAGATATTGACTAAGGTAACCTCTGGTCACCTTACAAAGATATTGCATATGGTTACCTCTGGTCACCCACACAGATATTGGCTATGGTTACCTCTGGTCATCCTACACAGATATTGAAAATGGTTACTTTTGGTCACCCTACAATAAATTGGCTTATGTTAACTATGGTGACAGTTCATAAGATGAATATCGTTGGTCAATTTAAAAGATATTGATGTGGTTAACTCAGGTCATTCTACACAGATATTAAATATGTTTACCTCTGGCCCCCCTACACAGATTTCGAATTGGGTAACCCTTTCATATTATTGAATGAGATTACCTCCGGTCATCGTATACATATATTTACTTAAATTACCTCTGGTCACCCTTTACAGATTTGGAATGTGGTTACCTTTGGTCACCATACACAGGTATTAACTTTAGGTTCTGGTCACAATTCATAATTAATGAATCTTTATTGGCATCGATTATCTCGTTTCACACTATCCAGATGTTAAATTTGGTTAACACTTCCCGCAACATTTATATTGAATATGAATATTGCTCATCATAAACAGATAATGATTATGGATATCTCTGGATACCCATCCTATAATTTATTTACTTTTGGTAATCTGACGCAAATATTGTCTTAGGCAACCTCTTATTACCCTGAACTGCAATTCATTTTGGTTAAATCTGTTCATCCTATATATAATTATATGACTTTTAAGGGGTCTCATGGTTTCTCCGGTTATATACAATTAATAAAAAAAAAGATTTTGCTGACATTTTAAAAATAAATATGATATATTTCACATTCTCATTACAGGGTTTTTTGTTCGTGAATTAAATAGAGGAAATATGACAGGTGTAACAGGCGATTTTGAAGGTAATGGTTATAGTTTCAAACATAATTATTTCATTAATCATAGTAGAGGTCATATTAAGACCAATATTCAATTCCTAAAATCAGAATTCGAAACGTAGGGTTGATAGTACAAATCAAATACTTCAAAAACTAGAAAAACTGCACAAATTCCAAAATTATAGTTAAGGAATGTCAAATTATGATACATTATCGCGGTGTATATTTGAAACATCGTTATTTATTCCGCCATTTCCATATCTTACAGGTTTGGAAAACTTTAATTTGGAAGACCTCCATGAATTGCGACATGAAGAAAAGGAAGAAGTTAAAAAACAGATTGAAGCCATATATATTGAGGCAACCTCTTTGGAGAAAAAAGCCAGAGAATTGGGTATGAATTGTGTTTTCTCATTTATGCCCAAACCGCCACAAATGTCGTGATATTTTTCATACAGTATTGTATAGATTACGCTGTTTAGATCATACAATTGAGAAATAATTCATTTAGGCTTGAATTTATACTGATTTTACCACGGATTGACCTTTTATGCTAAATATTTTACAACGACCGATGGCATGGATAATATGCTCTTCATTTTTTAAAACTTTATTCAGCTACGATCAATTATCCTTGGCCAATTTGTAATGGCTCAGCGACTGCGTATATATTTTTTTTAAAAGTGTTTCAAAATTAGTATCTTATTCCAACAAATCGAAAATTGTTACTGTTTTTGTTTTTTTGTGTACATATGCAAATTGAAAAAATATGATTTATTCTAGGAAATTACACGCTTAAATATTATATTTCCCTACCATTTTAGCATGTGATACAAATTCAAAACAGTATATTCTTCGCCACGCACAAACCTTAACAGAAAAAGCAAATGAGATGAAAGAAAAGATATGCTTAGCATCAGGTGATTTATTTCTTTATCTGTATTATATTATAGATATACATTTATAACACAGTAGTGTTATTTTTATGTTAATACTGTAGACTTTTGTAGTTGAATATATCTGTTGGCACGCAAATAGGAAACTGAAAAACAGAAAATTCAAAAGGCACTTAATCAAATCCACTTGTCATAACCAAATTGACAAAGCCACGACAATAAACACAAAATCGGGAACAAGACAAACATCATTCCACGGAATTGGTTTGCGGTTTATTCCTTACTTTATCATTTGTTTATTATCTCAAAACTAGTGTACATAACACACTTTGGCAGTTCACTTAATACTGATCAGTGTTTTATTTCAATTTTCTTATGATGCCCTTTATTAGTAAAAAGAAAGGATTCATATCAAATTTTTACCTCCCCACACACACATACCAGCACACCCACATACACACCAACACACCAACACACATACACACACCAACACACCAACACACATACACACCTACACACACATTTTCTAAAACAAAATGTCAATACCAATTACATGCATCTAGTTGCTGCCATCATTCAAATTTTAGAATGTTTTTGGTTCTGTATCTTCATTTTATTTGTTTAATTCAAAACAAAATAATTTACACAAAACCAGTCAACCACCAGCATATTATCATTGCTTTCAATAAACATGAATAACAAAGTCAAATATTGTTTTTGAATAAATTTATGAATAGCCAAAAATGTCAGACTTTTGTGATACAAATATTTCAGAGCAGAAGGTCTGAAAAAGTTAATTTATAATTCTAAAGAGGTGAATGTCAACAACCTCACAAAGAAATGAAAGAATCATAATTCATATTTTATTGTAAAATTCAGAGTTTACCGAGAATCATATCACTCTTAACAAATCTGTCAAATGATCCCTGAATAAACAAGTAATATTTTCAATGATACGTTTTTATTACAATTGAATACACATAAGTATGTATAAACAATGTCATTTAGCTGTAAATTTGAAGTGAAGAAATTTTAACCTTATATTCTTATATTAAGGGAAATCATTCCAAACACCTGATGAACTACAAATTGCTATAAAGCAATCCATAGCTTCAAACGAGGAACAAACATTAATAGTTGAGAGACTTAAGAGGAACTGTTCATCCCATGGCTTAGAATACAGAGGTCAAACACCAGGGAATGGGAATTGTTTTTTTGAAGCAATCACATGCCAGCTAGATAGAATTGGCGCAGACGTTATTGCTCCCGAACAATTAAGAACAAATGTTGTAAACTACATATCAACACATCCTAGTTTTGAGGTAAACTAATTTACTTGTTAAATACATTCACTAATTATCAAACTCCTCCATGGACAGAAACATAAAGAATTAGTTGGACATGTTTTCAGGGGACAAATCAAAACCGTTGGCAACGTTAGTGGCGCATCAGCACAACTTAAATATATGATTTAAATCAGTTAAGAAGCTATTAACACACAAATACCATCAAAAATACTTCCGACAGAATATTAATTTGGAATTGACGTAACTGCCCGTAATACCTGTGATTAATGCAATTTAATATTTAAAGATTTACAAACTGATAAAAGAATAAGCATCAGTTAAGACTTTCATATCAACCAGAATGCTTTTTTCTGCAGATGTTTAAATAAATCATTTACAGTTAATATATTACAATGCTAAATAATAGGTATTGACAAAAAACAATAAAATAAATAAAAAATGTATGTTATGATCATGATGATTTTTGATAAAATGTAGTTATAAAAGTATTTGTTTTGTATTAATCAATTTCAATGTACAGTAGTTAATAAAGACTTATGTAAGTAGCTTTCTTTCAATCAATAGGGCAGTCAAGGCATTGTGTTATTAGAAAACTTCGTTGAAGACAATTTTCCGGACTACTGTGACAGGATGTTACAGAATGGAGAGTACGCAGACCATGTTGTGGTCATTGGAATGTCCAGAATGCTACAGAGAGACATAGTTATTGTCACCAGTGCTCCCAGTACCAATAATGAGGATAGTGTCCTTTGGGTAACTGGTTGTGATGGTTTTTCCGGTAATCCTATTCTTCTTGGGCACATTTTCGAAAACCACTACCAGTCACTCCAGCCAAAAGGTAACTGATAATAGAAATTATATAATTTATGATTATCTCTCATAAAGAGATACCTTTACAGTTATAGTTTAAAGTAACGCATATGTAAATCTATGTTAAAAAAATAATGTCTACGGTTGATAGTTGGGAAATATCTTATAACACGAGATATAGTTGTGGAATCTGTTAATCTAATGATTCCAATAAAATTTGATAATTTGTTTAGATTATTTACAAAAAGTCATGCTCTTCTTGTCTGACTTCATCGGGCATGATCACCTATTCCAATGACGTCATTATATAAAATTCAGAGGAAAGCAAAATATTTGTCGTCATTATTATATTTCGACTAAGGAAGGACTTCGATCAAATGACCCACGTTTGGTAAAATGTTGATCAATATTGTGCTCAGAAAGGGATAAATACCATAGAATCAGTAAAATGTCCATATTTATATATTTGATATTTTATATTATATATTTTTAAATAAGTTTACTTTAACTTTGTTTTCATTAGGCATTTTCACATTTTCGATAGGAGCGACCCTAATGAGTCTTACGTAGACGGAACACATTTTTAAGCCTTATATCTTTGAATTAGGTAGATCATCACTATATATCTGTATATCGCCATCTTGAATTGTAAAATAGCAGCACACAAGCGACAAAGTTCTTTATTTAAAACTGCAAATTTTGAGACATAAATGCTATTCATTTTTAAAACTCTTGTTTGATAAATGTAAATAAGTGCATTATATCATTGAAAAAATAAGTGTTATTGTAAAAACCGGCTATCAGTCTTTGTTTGATTCAATTTGTCAACTGAGCTAATTAACGGAAGATAACTTATTTGGTGAATTTTCTTTAAAGGAATGATAATGAAATTTCCATTTTTCGCAAGAAAACGAGATTTATTTTCACCCTTTTTCTTTTGATTTTCTACTAAATTGTGGCTATGTATAAGAAAATTATGTCTGAGAAAAAAATTCAGTAATGATCTACCTTAAATCGTTTTACGTTTTTTCACTGTAGACTGTTTTTGAAAAAGAAAAATATTAAAGGAAGTATTGTAAATGTGATATTTATATAAGTTTACTTTACATAATTTGATTGCATAATTACTGCATTGATATCAATCAGCATTAGAGGCAAAGTTTTTCTAATTGGCAAATACATTCAGATGCAAAAAAGCTTTATTTTAACAGATAAACTAGTATTAATTATAAATTATTACGTTTTTTTGTTAATTGTAACGTTTATAAAACAAATTTTAGGTGACAGTGGCAAACTTGATCACCACACGAATGATAAGCATGCAACAAATGATGATAACCTTTTTATTCCTGTTGATGTGTGCAACGAAGAACTCAGCAACTATAACATGACACATGATGTTGAAGGTACAATATTGTTCCTTCGGAAATGTTCACTAGCCATACTTATCATCAGTGATTTTAAAATGATTTGAATAACTTATAATTAGCGGGAATTTCTCGCTACATTGAAAACCTGTTGGTGACCTTCTGCTGTTGTATTTTTCTACGGTCGGGTTGTTGTCTCTTTGACACATTCCCCATTTTTATTCTCAATTTTATTATAAAAAGTAAAAGTCATTTTATCATCCACTTTTATACATAACCTACCATTAGTATACATAGACGTCAATATTCTATAAAAAATAATTAGTTGTATTATAAAGTTGCAGTTTATAGATACTACCAATGAGCATGACTTTATCGAAGGCTTTTCGAAAGTCAACAATGCATTTAAAACACATTTTATTTCCATTTCTCCGTACTTCCAACGACAAAATTATTATACTTAAATTTGACTTTACATGCGAAATTTAAAGTGGTTTATCTAACGTCATTTTGTCGCAATAGTTGTATCATGTGTCCTCCTTTTTTATTATTAACTGTAACGTCTATGTTATACTGCAAATGCGTTTTATTATTGTATTAATACTGTGTCGCGAAGTATACTTATGTTTATAATTGTATTTTTTGTAACTCGTTAATTGTTTTGTCAGAGTTAAGCCATTTTCCATTATTTGCTTTTATAGTGCGTCTTTTCTTTTAATGTTTTACTGCTGTTTTACGTGTAATGTGCAGGTTTGCGCCTGTTGAAACGTTCAAATATATTATATGCAACTATTTTTTTGTGTTATTAAAATTTGCTGTTACAAAATATTAGAAATTATTATAAATTAAGGAATGTATCTCCCTCATGCAAAGCTCTGATTTCTTTCACGGATTTGGCTATACTTTTTGGACCTTTTGGATTATAGCTCTTCATCTTTTATATAAGCTTTGGATTTCAAATAATTTGGCAACGAGCATCACTGAAGAGACATGTATTGTCGAAATGCGCATCTGGTGCAAGAAAATTGGTACCGTTAATTTTATTGTGCAGAGGTCGTTTGTTGGTATTTTTCATCGATGTCATCATTTGTTTTTAAATTTATAACAAGTAAACTAGTGTTACTACATAGCAATACATATGCTTTTCTTACCCTAGATATGCCATTCGTAGAGTTTGTGAGATCCACCTTCATCAAAAAACGGAAAAATGGTACTGATTGCATTGTTAGACGTTTAAGGTATGGGAAATTTTATTTTAATCGAAAATATATAGTTTTGAAATCAACTAATTTCTATATGCTACCTTCTTCCTATGACCTAATGGTTTCAATAGAATTAAAAGAAAATAAATATCTATCACAGCAAAACATATACCTTCAGATTATTGAAAAATAACTCTGTTTGTTATTCAGAATAATTTTACTGAACTTCAAATAGTCTTACAAAATATAAAAATCACTGTATTAACAAAGGGATCATTTTTAAGAACTCTATTTTTTGGGGGACAATTTAAGTCTATTATACTATGGTGTAACTCTTTCCAATGTTTCTGAATATATGGATGAATTTTTGGTCACACTATTACACTGAAACATATTGTTGTGTTTTATCAGCTAGCATTTGTGACTTTGGCTTCAGTTTTTGCTTATCATTCAACAGAAATGAAGTGGACAACGAAGACGTCATAACCAAGCATTTAATGGATATAACAATCACAGGGAATTTTATTCACAGGAAAGCAAATAAAACCACATTGCAATACAGGTGTGAAAGGTAACTTTAATCATCTAAGTCGATAATCTATAAAGGAATTTTATCTTGAAATAAATCCACTCTTGTTTTTCTCCAAATAAACAATAAATAGAAAAAGAGAACAACTTTAGTAACAATCGTAAACATTCTTAAAGAATCTATTTACATATCTTGCATATCAAATTTGCAAGACAATGCTGAGTTAAAAGATACATTTGTGACAGAAAATAATATTGGTATAGTTTTGAAAGAGATGAGTTGTATAATCTTGACTTCTGGTTGTATGTTATTCTCTTGCTTTTTTCAATAATATACGTTTTGTGTTATAGTTTATACAGTAATTATAGTATGGCCTTTAATAACAGATAGTTCCGAAAGCTTTTAAACGTATTGAACTATGAATTTTCTGAAATATTGCACAACATTTTTCTCTTTGGTTATCTATAAAGTTAAGATGCATATTTGTTTAAATTTTATCATGTTTATTTTAGATGTAATAAACCAAGAGGAAAAAAACAGGTCCTTTGAATACCAGGGCAAATAATTGTCAGGCATATGTGTCATTCCAGTATGTTATGTTAATGTAATATTCATTTATCTCTTTTACTTTTCTTTTATGATGCAAAACTATAAATTAATTTATAACTTTTAAGCGTTTGAACATCATTATTTATTGATCCTAACATCCTTGTTGTAGTTAAGCAACCTTTTGTCCGTGTCTTGAGAGTGGGAATTAAATGCATTTATCATATTACTAAACCAAACACATTTAAACAGGTATTCACCGGGCATACACCATTCATGAGTTTCTGGCTAGTTTACCTGACATTTCATGTGATGAGCGGGTCAATACACCCTGTCATGGTTGAAATTATTATATAGAGAATCCCTGTATCAAATTATATAGAATTTGGTATATATCATTTTGATGATAAGTTATCAATTTACAAGGAGAACACAACAACCATAGCAGTTATTCGAAGTAGCCTTACACATATTTTTAGAAAAAATAATCCTTTTCTTCAAGTCCGATAGATCTTAAATATTGCTTACAAGCTGTTGTAATAAATATAATAATGATACGTTTGGCAAAACAGTACTAACCAGTGACGTTGTACATGTAAAAAAAAATCATTAAAGGGCATGTTAATATCTTCTTACACAGATTTTTGACCCATTTGAGTAAAAAAGCAGTAATAATTCGGCAACAACTAAAACACAATGGACACAGTTTACAGATAAAAGAGGAAAAACACCAATCACGCCCAGATCACAGCTTACTGCTTTATATAGATGCTTTACTTGATCAGGTATTCATGTCGTCGGTATTATATATAATTTATTGCTCATATCGAATTGACTTATTTTTCAATTATAAGTTGCTGGCACTCTTATAAACACAATGATAATAAAAATTGTGTATGCTGACATTATTGGAGTTTAATATTTTCTCAACCATTCTGTTCTTTTCGATGTCTGTGTTTGTCTTCCGGCGCATTTTTTCATAATTTGCAAAGATTATAATGAATGAATAGGTTGAAATAAATCAAAAATAAAATGATTAGGATAAAATTGGCTTGCCAGAGAGCTATTTTCTGAGGACTTCTGAAAAAAGAAGATAAATATATGATAATTGTATTAGTAAATTCAATTTTATTTATCCAAAAGTATCTTATGAGGATCAGTTTTATTTTATTGAATTATCAACTGTCCGTGCTCTTGGCAATGTTTGAAAGATCAATGATTTTTCTTAAATTTGTTTGTAGAGGATCATGAAAGATAATGATCATTGTGTAAAGTTTTATCGGTACATTAAACTTAATATAATAATATTCTATATTCTTGTTGAATTCATAATGTATATCAAACCTGTTCTTCTTCTTTTTTGTCTTTCTTTGATTGTCTCAAATTTTCTACAAATGATATGAAAAACATCAACTAGTTGTATGCAAATGTTATTTACCAGAGATAACCAAATCTGAAAACTGTATAAGGTGACCAGAGGTAACCAAATCCAATATTAACATAAGGCGACCAGAGGTCACCAAATCCAATATTTCCATAAGATGACCAGAGGTCACCAAATCCAATATATGAATAAGGTGACTAGAAGTTACCCCATTCTAGCATATTAAGGCCAACAGAAGTTAACAAATCCCATTTCTGGCTAAGATGACCACATGATATCAACTTAAATATTTGTGTAAGGTAATCAAGAAACAAAAAAAATGATTAGTTCAATCGAGCCTAAGTGGCCATTTTACCAGAAACGATTGCAAGTTTCAAGTTCAAAAAGAATAATAGTTGCAGCATTATATAAATATAGTGTATGTTTTCATCATATTAAAGGTTTGATACAATAAATTAAATGCATACATACCACTCTGATCTACATTTTCTGAGGACTTCTGAAAAAAGAAGATAAACATATGATAATTGTATTAGTAAATTCAATTTTATTTATCCAAAAGTGTCTTATGAGGATCAGTTTTATTTTATTTAATTATCAACTGTCAGTGTTCTTGTGCATGTTTTAAAGATCAATGATTTTTCTTAAATTTGTTTGTAGATGAGCATGAAAGATAATGATCATTGTGTAAAGTTTTATCAATATATTAAACTTAATGTAATAATATTCTATATTCTTGTTGAATCCATAATGTATATCAAACCTGTTCTTCTTCTTTTTTGTCTTTCTTTGATTGTCTCAAATTTTCTACAAATGATATGAAAAACATCAACTAGTTGTATGCAAATGTTATTTACCAGAGATAACCAAATCTGAAAACTACATAAGGTGACCAGAGGTCACCAAATCCAATATTAACATAAGGTGACCAGAGGTAACCAAATCCAATATATGAATAAGGTGACTAGAAGTTACCCCATTCTAGCATATTTAGGCCAACAGAAGTTAACAAATCCCATTTCTGGCTAAGATGACCACATGATATCAACTTAAATATTTGTGTAAGGTAATCAAGAAACAAAACAAATTATTAGTTCAATCGAGCCTAAGTGGCCATTTTACCAGAAACGATTGCAAGTTGTAAGTTCAAAAAGAATAATAGTTGCAGCATTATATAAACATAGTGTATGTTTCCATCATATTAAAAGTTTGATACAATAAATTAAATGCATACATACCACTCTGATCTACATTTTCTGAGGACTCCTGAAAAAAGAAGATAAGCATATGATAATTGTATAAGTAAATTCAATTTTATTTATCCAAAAATATCTAATGAGGATCAGTATTATTTTTATTTAATTATCAACTGTCAGTGTTTTTGGCAATGTTTGAAAGATCAATGATTTTTCTTAAATTTGTTTGTAGATGATCATGAAAGATAATGATCAATGTGTAAAGTTTATCGGTATATTAAACTTAATGTAATAATATTCTATATTCTTGTTGAATCCATAATGTATATCAAACCTGTTCTTCTTCTTTTTTGTCTTTCTTTGATTGTCTAAAACTTTCTACAAATGAAATGAAAAACATCAACTAGTTGTATGTAAATGTTAATTACCAGAGATAACCAAATCTAAAATATGCATATGGTGACCAGAGGTAACCGAATCCAATATTAACTTAAGGTGACCAGAGGTCACCAAATCTGAAATCTGCATTAGGTGACCAGAGGTAACCAAATCCAGTATTTCCATAAGGTGACCAGAGATAACCAAATCTAATATATGAATAAGGTGACCAGAGGTAACCAAACCCGTTATTAACATAAGGTGACCAGAGGTCACCAAATCCAATATATGAATAAGGTGACCAGAAGTAACCCCGTTGTAGTAAGGCAAACAGAGGTTAACAGATCTAATTTCTGGTAAAAATGACCACATGTAATCAAAATTAAATATTTGTGTAAGGTAAACAAGAAACAAAAAATGATTTGTTCAACTAAGCCTAAGTGGCCATTACCAGAAACGATTGCAAGTTTTAAGTTCAAAAAGAATATTAGTTGCAGCATTATATGAACTTTGTGTACATATCTATCATATTAAAGGTTTAATACAATAAATTAAATGCATACAAACCACTCTCAAGGTGACCACAAGTATTCAGATGCAATATCGCGGTAAGGTGAGCAGAGGTAACAAAACTTAATATTTACATTATGTGACAAGAGCTAGCAAATCCAATAAATACATATGGTGACCAGAGGTAACCAAATCCAATATCAGCATAGGTGACTAGATGAACGTATTCCAATATTTACATAAGTTGACCTGAAGTAACCAAATCCGTTATCTTCATTAGGTGACAAGAGGTTACCAAATCAATTATCTGCATAAGGTACACAGAGGTAACCAAATCCTATATATGCGTAAGATGACCAGATGTAACCAAATCCTATATGCGGAAGGTGACCAGTGGTAACAATTCAAATATTTGCAGAAGGTAACCAGAGTTAACCGAATACTATTTTAGCATAAGTTGACCAGATGTAACAAAAGCCGCTATTTGCATAAACTAACAGAGGTAATCAAATCCAATAATTGCATAGGTTGACCAGAGGTAATTCAATACTTTTTTGCATAAGATAACCAGAGGTAACCAAATTCAATATTTGCATTAGTTGATCAGAGTTAACAAAATCTGAAATCTGCATAAGGTATTATCCATCATATTAATTGATTTAATCAACAAATTAAATGCATACATACCATTCTCATCTAAAATTTGTATGGACTTCTGAAAAAAGAAGATAAAAATATAATAATTGTATAAGGAAATCAATTGATTTATTCAGAAGTATCAAGTGAGAACAAGCATAAATTGACCCGATTTTTAATTGTGAATTTTCTTGACAATTTTTGCAAGTTCGTTCATTTTTTTTAGATGATCAGGAAGAAAATTCGATGGTAAAGTGTTTTCAATGAATAAACATTTAAAATGTTATGCAACAATCATCTGTAGTCTTGATGAACCAATTATAGATATCAAACCTGTTGTTGTTCTTTTTTTCCTCTCTTTGAATGTCTAACTTTTTCTAAAAAAAAGAATAAACAAAATCCATGAAGAGAAACTAAAGGTTAATATTTTTAAAGTCAGTACAATTCAGAGTAAAAATATATACTCAAATTATTAAATTGCAATATAAAAAAAGGGTAACCTCTCTGTCAAGTATAGATTACCTTGAACAACACGAACCATTTAGTGCTTTTAAATAAGTGTGGGTCAAACATAAAAAAATTAATAGCTTAACGTGAACTTACTTCTAGCGAAAACTGTGTGAATTATATATATTCATAGGAATTAATTCAGAAGCATGCTTTATTATTTTTTCTGCATGCATTTATGTTTATCTATCATTGATTATAATGTAATGTAAAATTGATACAGGATAGAAATGAAGGTGTGATAAAGATACATGACTTCACAGCAGAGATAATAAATAAGGAAATTGTAATTATTGTGTCAAGCAGAACATTAAGTGAGAACAATAATATGTAAAAGTAGTGGCATATTGACTACACATTGATTATATTTGAAGCGTACAGATTTAGGATAAAGCACACCAAACTAAAAGTTCACAGTATTTTATACATTACCATACATCTGTATATAAGAAACAAAAAAATAAATAAAATCCAACAGCTTATACAATGCAAACAAGAAACTGACAAGTTATATAACAAAATCATTTGAAAAGACAATATTTATAGAAGACTTAAAAAGTAGTGTGCACTAAGCAAACGGTACCTATGCCAGCGTCATTCTGTATTAATCAACTAAGTCAAGAGGGGGAACATTAAACGTCTGCCTTTACCATGTGAGTCTGAATGTGAGAACAACAAATCTTTGGATTTCAAAGATATCTTAGAATAAGTTCATTTAGTGCAATCTATAAAAAATGTAAGAAATATCAACATGAATATATCTACAAAAATTAATAAGTCGACTTCTGTTATGAAATTAAACGCAACTTATAGAATTATTGAACAAATCGAAGAACAATGATCATTCTACAATTTTGTTATATCGCATTTTGTCCTTGCAAATTAAATTCTATTTCATTGTATTACTTTAAAAAAAAATTAGAAATGGTAGAATTTTCTATTGCACTCACCAGGTGGAAAAATTGAGCACAGACTGCATAGTCCTGGAGTCATACACTTTTTGTGGAAATTCCTTTTACAGCATGAACATGCTCTCTGCAATATTTAATAGACATGTTCAAATTCTATGAATTAATGTAGTTATTGCGAAAAATGTTAATATTAGTGAAAGTTCATCAAATTGATATAAAAAAAAACATTTATATTCTAACCTACAATATCACAAGGTTATGTTAAAAAATTATCAATTTTAACCATAAAACGTATTTAAATAAGCAATAAAAATAATAAAGCACCCTGTTAAGTTGAACATCAACGATCTATAAATGTATATTTACCATGTTAGTTGGTTCTTTAGCACACAAGAAGCATGTCATAACAGCACCTTTTGTTGCTATAGTAAAATAGAAATAGATGTTAACATGAATTAGGAACAACATTCTTCTGCTCCAAATCACAAATAAATTGCAGCAGCTGATAATAAGTCATAAAATTTAAAATGTTTACACTTGGTTGATGTTATTTTTTACGTTCCTTCCCGTAGATGGTAATTATGATGGTGATGCTCATTCATGACAGCGGCAGTTTATATGAAGAAGACAATCGCATAAATATATCGGCTAACTTAATTAGACCTACAAAAACTAGTTGATTTTTAAACATCTACTTTCCATGTTTATATTTCCATTAATAAGATCGTAATATTTGACAACAACACATTATCATACATATATAAGACATGGAATATCATAAAAATAAGTACAGTTTGAGCTGTAGAAAAAAGAGAGAAATTATAACAGAAAACAACCGGAATTATTAAGCTATTATTTCCAAACTACATTTTTAAGTATAACATATCAATAATGAATAATACATTAAAGAAACATAAATACATCATTTATAGCGTAAAGAAATTTGGTCAGAAACAATAGATAAAATTAAAAACAAATCATCAATGAATTGAGATAAACATCAAAGAAAAGGATTTCAAACACATTATTGAACATGTTAAAATTCATATTCCCTTTTTATTAGATTCACTTATTGTCTAGCAAGAAGATATTAAGTATTTACATAACATACGGTACTATTAGTAAATGCTTTTATTCTATTGATTACTTACGCACAGCTTGAACAATTTCACTGCCAATTGTGAATCTTTCAGCTTGGACGTTTAATTCCAAAGATGTATCTGTCTTACTTAGGTATCGGTCGAGGAACTAAAAAAATAATTCTTAAATGTACACATTGTTTTGTAAATTTTCTATGGCCTGTTCAAAACTGAATGTTTAAATTACTGAAATGATTCATGTAGGCCTAATAATGATATAAAAATGTTTTTTTTACAAAAGGTAAATTAAAAGTACCACATATTTATTTGTTTTTCTTTCCATTACATTTAGAGTAATTTATGCAAATCATAGATTTGGTTAAATTTCACACAACCTTTGTGCTTTGCGGATTTTACTGAAATAGTTTACATGATATATATTCCAAGTTATTGTTTACACATATTTAAATAAACAGGTTTGGGAAACAAGTTGTTTACAACTTACAACAATATTTTGTTCATCTTATTTGTACGATTCTGCCTTTTTTTCAAAATCAACAAGGGTGTCTTTTACGTGCAAAATTGTGATCTTTATTAGTATATATATATCATTGATTTAAGATTCAAGCTTCAATTGAACTTTCATTTATTAACTCTCAATTCATACATGCAAAGCCCAATGTTTTATGTACCTTCAAACAATAAACACCACATGAGCTAAAATCATTTTGCAGAGGATACCCAACTGCTGTACAGATTGTCCATGTACCAAGATCTCTGCTTTTAGTGAAGTAGCTACATAATATAATATGAAAAGAAAAATGTGTTACTTAAAATTGATATATATTAAAAAGTCAAGCTGGCTATAGCCATAATGCCAGCCATTGCCTTACCCCGGACTGTATCATAGAACTTACATGTCTAGCTAGATGTATGATACTTAAGGAGATATTGCACATTCCATAGAAAACCGTTCATTTGACCAACCTTTCTAATGTAGGAAAAAAAATAATTGCAGCTGTTTTAAAGTTGATATCAACAACGTTTGGAAAAAAATAACTGGTCTTCAGTTCTTACTGCTATATTCAATTTACAAAGCTGTGCAATCAATAATACAATTATAGTTCAATTCCAGTATCAACCAGAAGTAATTTTCATTTTAGATTAACAAATTATATTTCTCTAGATTTGTCCTTATAACTTGTGACTCACTTCTGAAAATTTCAGAATTATAAACTTTTTTTTAAGTATATATATCAAACACAGAAATAAAAATTTACTTTGAAACAAATCACATGCATTAAAGCAATAAACGACTGTCATGTAACTACAGTTTCAATCTTACTTGAAATTCTTTTCATATGTTCTCAATTTCTTTGATATTTTGAGCGGGTCCATAATTGTCACAATATGGTGTTGGACATCCATAACCTGAAACAAAAATTATTCTCTCTTTTTAATTTCACATACTTAAATCTGTTTACATTAACATTTATAAAAAAATAAATATTTTGCTTAATTACTGGTTGTTGCTCAATGTTCAGAAGCAAATATTTGATAATATTCTATACGAAGAAGCCAATATTTTATATCTGATATTTCTTTTCTAACTATCATTTCCATGCAGTATAAATGCTTTCATATAAATGAGTGCAAAATCAGTTGGAAAAATGTATGAGAAAATATATATATTAAGTCAAGTAAGTTGAATTAAGTTATAGAAGAACAACTAACATGACTAAAAACTCAACGAAATGTCTGAAATGCTGTTCTTGCAACTCATTTTTCTATTAACTTATAACCTCATGGAAAAATGCCTGAATAGTGTAATTAATAACATTAATTGAGCAAATAAACCTACCACAGCAACCCAATGACACTTCCCGTCATTAATGCACCCAATGACAGTGTCATACTGTTGTATATCGTCCTAAAAAAGTATTGTAAAATGTTATTATTAACTTACAAACTGATTAAAAAAAAGACCGATGAAACATTAAATACATTTTATAAACAGCAATATAATACCATACACAATACAATATTTAGCATATTGTTTTATTATTTATCATTTGATAATTTACATATATCATCAATATGTTAGAATGTCTTATTATTTTGTTAAAACGTGAAAGGCGAATTGGTAATATCCAGCTTTTAGCTGTAAAAAGAGTAATCTATGTGTAAATCAAAAGCACTTATATAAAAAGAGTTTATAACAGATGATTATATAGTATTATACCTTTTTAAACCAAGTTACGCTTTTCCTCCCTTCAAAAATTGAGGTCAGAATCAGACAATCTGCACGGGACACTTTCTGGAAAACGGAAATATGTATAAAACAAATTTAAATTGTGTGACAAGAACATTGGATTTATTTAACTGTTTCTATTACATCGGAACGTGAAATTATATAAGGTTTTTCTTGCCTGGTTCAATACTTCTTCAAAGTCAGTATGAAATTACCCATCAAAAATACGAGGAATAAAAGTAAATTCATTTTTCTCATAGTTAATGAGTTGTGCATATATTTCCTTAACGACAATTCCAAATGGGATATAACTCTTATAAGGAATATCCAGATAGCTTCGGTTGAATAATATATGACATCATAAGGGTGTAACGAGTAATTGAGTAAACTAATAAAATATCGCAGTAGATGTATCTACACGCAAAATCGAGATTGGGGAGGTAACTCTATTAATGAGAGTAAAAAGTCTTCGTTAGGGCAATGGCGAAAGCTTATAAGCTGTACGATATCATATAAAACAAAGTCAAAGCTACATCTGTTAAAAATAATAGCTCAACTTAAAAAAGGCGAACAAAATATAAATAATAATATCAAAATAATGATAATAATTATAATCCTTAAGTAAAGCTAAAAGTCTTTCAACCGAAAGGTAGAAAGACCTTAAATTATATAAAAGGGAAAAAATAAAAGATGATTTAGTGGAACAAATATTTCATTCTCTGCAAAAAGGGTGGTGGGTGCGAAAGTAACTTTTACAATACACAGTTTACTTTGGTGAAATTGGAAATGAATAAAAAATGCATAAAACAAGTTTAGAATGATAATTCAGATACCCTTAATGGAGGAATGGATCATGTAGAAAAAGCGAAATTAAATGAATTGATCCTGGAAGTTACAAAAAAATAAGCATGCTTTAAAGTAGCCGATGAAAATCAGTCAACTCTAAAATAAATGCACTGAAATATGATAAAACGGTTATTAAATAAATACTTTTAATTCGTTTACCTGTACACACTGATCCGTCCGTTTTTGCAGTACACTACAATAAAGATTAATTATCTGAAAAAAAAAAAAGAAAATGATAAGGTCAGATCTTTTCAATCAGTATGATACAAAGGAAACCATCAACAAAACTAAATATCACAAAGGTGAAGACATACAAGTTTGATCAAGATAACACATAACATAAAGTACCATGATTATGTTATCAGTTTAAGACAGATTATTTAAAAAAATCCTTGTACATTTTATAGAACTAAATAAAATCAAAAGACCTCCAAAAACCTGAATGACTTACCTGCATTTTTTTTGCTGTTAAATCTTTCATCAATGATTATTTTTGCTTTTCAATGGAAATAAAGTAGTGCTTACATTGTCAAATTGGTATTTAATTTTTTTTGGTATCTGTCATATTTTCTTAAATGGCAAAACAATGCATTTTAAACCAATATGCTATTAAGCCATAGTGACTTTATTTCTTGGCATAAAAGAAAACACAATTACTTACAGGCCAGTAACTCTTTAAGGGGTCACAAAAATTAGCAATTTAGTGGCATCAACCAAACAATGGGTAGTTTTATTTGTCTGAAAATGCTTTACCTAATGAACCTTTTCACCAATGTCAGATTTAATTTTATTTTAGATACCCTAAGGATGATTAAGCTTACGTTTGGTTGGAATTGGTTCAGTAGTTTCAGAGGAGAGTTCAAGATCTTTGAAAACGTTTAACCTTTATTACATAAATTAAACCATTAGTACTGTTACCTGATCATTCAACTCCTCCTCAATTTTTAAGCTAATTAAATCCGATACGTAAAGAACATTCCCATACACCGTACCAAACTTTTCGTCAGCATTTCCTTTCCATGAATCCCATATAGTTTCCAAAAATGCTTTAAATAAATAATCATTTTTAACAATCAAAGTAATACAAATAATAATACCTGAAACAAATGACATCAATTAAGTTTCTTTTAAATTTTGGAATTCTACGAAAACAGAAGTGCAATCTTGTTTAGCACAGAAGATCACAATATTTGGGTAGGGTGACCAGAAGTAGCCGCAGTCAATATTATATAAACAATAGGTGCCATATTATTTAAGTCTATAACCGTTTAAATTGCAAAGAGGTAATAAAGGTTTACAAGTTACAGAATGACATGAGGTAATTAATATCAACATATGTGTAGGGTTAGCAGAGTAAGTCAGAAACTATGTAGGGTGACCAGAGGTCAACCAAAGTCACTATCAGTGAAGGGCGACAAGATGTAACCAGTCAATATATTTGTAAGGTAAGCGAATGTTAACTAAGACAATATGCGTAGGGTGACCAGATTTAATCAAAGAATATATATCTGTTTAAATGTCGCAGAGCTAGCCAAAGTTCATAACTTTGTCACCTGACTAAAGTTAACTAAAATCAATATATGTGTAAGATGACCACAGGTTACAAAAGTCAATTACTATGTAAGGTGACCAAATGTAGAGAAAGTCAATAAATGGGAAGGGGTGACCAGAGGGCACCAGTCCATAAATCTGTAGGGGACAAATGTAACCCAAATCTGTATATGTGTGAACTGCCTACAAGTTAACAAGTTTGATAATTGTGCGGGGGTAACTCAGGTCAATAACTTAGTAGGAAAAGAGGTTATAAAGTCATTTTATGTGAAGGGTGACCAGAGGCAACCTAAGTCAATATATGAGTAGGGTGACCAGAGATAACCGAAGTTAATATCTGTGTTAGGTGACCAGAGGTAACCAAAGTTAATATATGTGAAAGGTGACCAGAGGGCACCAGTCAATAAATCTCTATGGCGACCAGATGTAATCTTTAATCAAAATCTATATCTATGTAAACTGCCGACAGCAAACGAAAGACAATATCTGTCACGTGTATGGCGTTAGGAAGTAACCAGTTTCAATATATATGAAGGGTGACCAAAGGTAACCATTGTTTAATCTGGAAGATATGATTTTAGTATGCACACAATTACTGCACAGAGTTTGGTAATTTTAATTTTCCAACGAAAGAAAGAGGTAGGGCCAATATGCCGAGGATTTTTTTTCACAGAAGGGCCAATTTCAAAAAGTGCCGACAGAATAAAATTTACTATAAAAACAAAAAATAAAAATGCTTTTTGATCAATATCTCGATTTACATATAGTATGATATGTGTGATCAATAGTTAATTTAACCCTAAAAAATGATGAAAATCCAATATCCGGATTTTCGGGTGTTTTTATGTGGAAAAAACAGGGAATCCCCCAAGAAGGACATTTCAAACCAAAAAAAAGTTATGCTTTTTATGACTGTAGTTATTCATACTACTTTTTACTTCAAAAATGAAATTGGTTTAGTGTGTCCTTATTACATAAAAAACAACTTTTTAAAGAAAAAATTGTAACATCGATAAATTGTACCGATATACCTTCTAAATAAGAGTCATAATGATCAGAATCGCCGTAGCTCTACCATTAGAGCACAGAACTACTAATAAATGATGAATTTGAAGAAAGGGTTCGAACCTCGCTCAGAACTTTTGCATTTTTTTGTGTTGTTATATTAAATTTTAAAGTTTCTATCATATTTTTTCGGATGTTTGCTTGACTCATAGAGTCATTCTGGTTCATTTTGACTATTCAGTTAGTTTACTAGTATATAATTTTACGTGTATCAAAGAAAAATAATGTATCGCTTATTGTGTGCAATCCTATGACTGTCCATACTCTTGAATTACTTTCTATTCATGTGTTTACATTATTACGTATATCCAAGGGACAACTGCCGTCAAATTGATGTAGGTGCCTGTACATAACCAATAACACGAGAATTAATTCTATAGAAATTAAGCCTACATGTTGCGGGTGTAATATACACATAACTTAAAATAAGGCCATTGTATACAAGTTTCATAACAACAAAAAACAATTCGTCGAAACCTTTTTTGAACATGGTATTATATGTAACAAATGCAGTCAACAACAATTTTGTCGCCAAATCACAAACTGTAAAGATACTAGTACTGAAATTTTTACCACCTTCTATACACGGGTACCTAACTCATCAGAAAAATAAAACAACATAACAGAACAAATCAATTACACTACAAATCGCGATTGTAGGTAAAACATCAAGAAACTGTTGCATCTGTATCACAACGAAGGGCCGATTTGTTAAAATTACAGAAAAGGCAATAAAACATGAAGTAGTAACACAGGGTGATCTATGACCAACTGATGTAAGATGTTCTCCGGTTTTAATTTTATATACATGTACATGTATTTTCTTGTCTTATCTTATAGACGATAAAACCTTAAAAGACCAGGACAAATACAGATATACATATTCAGAATGAGAAAATCACGATTTGAATTAGTTCGATATTATTTGGCTCCTTGACAATTTACATGGTATGGCACCTCGCATAAAGGATGTTAATAATAAAATAAAATCAATATTAAAAAAACAATAGTCTTGGCCTTGTTTTTGTAGGAATACCTGTTCAAGGTATGAAAATAAATAATGTGACGTATTTTCTTGTACTATAATTAGCATCTATCGGGCTATTTAAAACATTATTTACCTATCTTATCGAATGAAACAAATCTCCGGCAAATTGGCCCTCCCTCTTTATTTTTTTTGGATTCCTAGCAGTTTTATGTTATGGTTTACGTCTACTTTGAAATTTAATTGTAATTTTATTTATTTCATATCGGTTCAGAATAAGATTCTCTTATTGGATAAAAAGGGGTAATATGACATTCATTATTTTTCAGTAATAAATTCCATCCTTCATTAACAGAACAAAACGGACCAGAAAACTGGTCGTTAACGAACTTTTACATGAGAATGACAGGTGGGCGTGGTTTCCGTCTGATAATGACCGTTGAGGCGTGGTTTCTCTGTAAATGACCGTTGGGGCGTGGTTTCTCTGTTAATTACCAATGGGGCGTGGTTTCTCTGTTTAGAGAGATTTATCCATTTTTAAAACATGTTCCTTTCTTTAATATTATATTTAATTTGTTGAATTGTTTATTATTTGTTTTTTGTTAATAATAAAATTAAAGAGAACTTGATTAAGTATTTATATACTGAAAAATTGCACTAAAATGAATGGGAGTATTCCTACAACTGGTCTTCACTCTCTGCCATACAAATCGTACGTCAACTACTCGAGTTCGCTTTAGGCATTTTGAATTAATGAAAATTTTCAAAACATAGTTCCTCAATGAAATAAACATAATAGTTCTTCAAAACAAAACTGGTCATTATCGTGATACATGGACTGCCCGTAGGACAGTAATATTGACTATGACAGCGATAATGACCTCGACTTCGCGTCATTATCGCTACCTTAGTCAATACCACTGTCCTGTGAGCGGTCCAACTATTATATAAATATTAAATCCTGAATTAAAAGGATTAAGTCGATTAGAATGTGACCTTACTCTTAATACTGTTCAATGGCATTTTAATATAATTACACCAACTATATATAGCTAACAACATTACAAATGTCTACATTCATAAATACATATAAATATGTTACTGGTTGAGTTGACAAATAAAACTGTAAGATCAGCATAACATCAGAAGAAACCTTCTCAAGCTCAAGAGATAAATCATTGAAAAATATTATTAAAAGTAAATGTCATAATATGGAACCTTCTGGTACTCTTGATCAAACCTCTAAAGTAGGTAAATCCCTAACTTTGTATTGTGTAACTTTTGTCTTCCGTTTGTAAGGTGGCACTAGATCAATAGCATTTCCTTTCTTCTTGAAGATAAATATAGAATTGATTTAAAAACTTACCTTTACTTCTTTCTTTTATGACAGCTAACATTATCCTTAAAAAATATTAAAATACAGTTCATCCATTGCTTAAGTTATCTTAACATTATCAATATCATCAACTACATGTATAAGATTAGGCCGTGTTCACATTGACTTAAACTCGGTGTTGTGTTAGTGTAACTCACACATTAACTAAACATAATTGCGTTCCCATTGATGTTTACATGAAGATTTAATCAAGACTCATCTATCATCTTTGCCGAACACATAGTTCATTTGAAAAGGTCTTCCTGAATCGATCAGACGTACACACTGACAGAAATATTTGCCACTGGTCTTTATACTCAAACAGCGATTCACTTATAAATGCATTACTGAAAAAGGGGGAGGTTAATTGTTTGTTTGTGTAGTATCTGAGACTCGTTAAAATACTATTAGAAATAATAAAAAAAACATTCTCCCCTCCCTTTGACAAATACTCCTTGGATAAAAAAAAATAGCACTTGAAACAAACAGAAGAGATAGAAATGTAGTGATCCTTAACATAGCAATTCTTTTTCTTCGTCTGTAAGCACGCTAATGGCAATCCTACGTTTTTAATGCGTAATCGAGACATCTTTAAACTACTGCAAATCATCCAAAATGACTTTCTTAAAGGAGCAACCACTTTACTTCAAAAAAAAGGGAGAGGGGTTCTGAGTTCTCGCGCGAAAGTTTATAATTAGTTTTTTTTCGATGGTACCAATTTATATAATATTTAACATGTTTAACACTATAATGTATGGGAAAACGTTTGATTCAGAATATTTGTTCATTCTATAATTGTCTGAAAAATCCACCCCCCCCCCCTTTTTTAAAGTCAAGTGGTCGTTTATTAACTGTAGAAAAGTTGTTCGAAAATTTGAATTCGGTTCTACGTAATGAACATTTAAATGACATATAGTTTACGAGTGTGAACAAATCTTATGTACATGTAACTAAACAAGGTGTATAGATGTGA